GTCTTCAGTCTCACAAACCCTGGAATGGCTCAGTCCTTACCATTACTGTTTTCCTGTAGCTTCTTCTCATCTTCCTATTTCCTTCATTTTTCTTCAGAGAGGAAACTCAATTGATTTTTTTTAATGCGAATTGTCTGAAAAATAAAAATAAAATTCTAAATGCTAATTTACGTGGATGTGTTGCTAAAAACAGCTGGTCGTCTCCAGGTGTCCACACCGAAGCTCTCCTCGGAGTTGACCCTGGAGATCTGGTACTCCCCCCACCACCCCAATTAAGCAACATCCGGGCTCCGGTGTGTCCCACGCAGCCCTGTGGGATCCAGCCTCATTTCCAAGTTGAGCAAAAGCTCCTGAGTGGCTTGTTCTCGCCCCCTGCTGGACCAAGTTCTCCTCCGCTCATGAGCCAGACTTGTCACTTTCCCTCCATGTTAACCAGTGCTTGGCTTCCCTCACTGTGTCTCTCACACTCAGTAATGTATTTCTGTTGCCAAATGAGTGGCTACATTTATGATTATTATTTTTATAATGACTGCATCGCAGCATAATTATCGCAGCGTAGCGAGCAAGAGGCCTTACAGCTCTCCCGTTTACAGTGTGCGATGCAATGTGTTCTTTGTACATTCACAGAGTTGTACAAACAATGCCACAATTCTAGAATCTTTTCCTCACCCAAAAGAAACCTCCTGCTCTTTAGCAGCCACTTCCCATGTCCCCCCAGGTAATCTGCTTAGCCTCTATGGATTCACCTGTTCTGGACGTTCACACGAGTGGAACACATGCTGCGTGCCCTTTGCACCTGGCTTATTTCATGTCGTGCAGCATGTTCAAGGCGCACTCATGCTGTAGAACGTGCCGGTCCTTCATTCATTTCTATGGCCAAGTACTCCAACCCTCTGTATGGCCAGGTAGTATTTCGCTGTTGGGAAATACCACGTTCTGCTCCTTCTTCACCCGTGATGGACATCCGTCACCCGTGACAGACATCCGGGTTATGTCTGCTTTGGGCTACTATGAGTAATGCTGCTATTGGGTCGTCAGGAAAGTCATGATGTGTTTTTCCATGTTTCTCTACGCAAAACTGAGTCATGACTTTCCCGACGACCTAGTATAAACTTCCATGCGCACATTTTCGTGGGGACATCGGTTTTCATTTCTCCCGAGTGTATAGCTAGGAGTGGAATTGCTGGGTTATATGGTAACTTCATTGAATCAGAGGAATTGCCGGTCTGTTTCCACAAGGTTGCCCGTTTCACCTCTCCGCCCTCCGTGTGTGAAGGTTCCAAGTCCCCGTCTGCCCCAGCACTGGGTACCTGATGTCCTGGTGGCGACCTTCCCAGCGGGTCTGAAGGGGTCTCACCGCGCTTTGATGCGCATTCTCCCACAGCTAGCGGTGCTACCCCTCTCCCTAGGTGTTCATTTGCCATTTGAGCATTTTCTCTGGAGAAACATCTATTCAAACCCTTCGCCCATTTTGGGGAGGGGGGTTTCTTTTTGTCACTGAACTGTGATCATTTATTATATTATAGACACCAACTATTTATCAGAGATAGGATACACGATTGTCCACCCTGTGGGTAGCCTTTCAGTTTCTTGATGGTGTCCTTTGAAGCACAGGAATGTTGACTTCGGATCAAGTCCTATTTGTCTGCTTTCTCTTTTGTTGCCTGTGCTTTTGACGTCACACCTACGCAACCGTTGTCTCATCCGAGCTTAGGAAGACAGAGCCAGCAGGTGGCGTGGTGGTGAAGGCACTGAATCGCACACGGCCGACTGTGCAGTTTGAGTCTGGACCTAATGACTTGAAAAACATGCTGGTCATGTGTGCATGCACGCCCACATCCTGAAAGGAGAATGGACAAGGGGTTGCCACATAACCATCCCCCTAGGGGTGATCTCTCACTTTCCTTCTCTCTGTCTCCCCCTTACTCAGAGTTGGCCCTCCCTCTCCTCATGTGTCTTGTGAACCTGGGATCTCTCTGTGGGCCCTCAGGTTTTGTGCAAGCTGACAGACTCGTGTCGATAGGCTACACCGTGTGCCAGCCATGGGCTGCGGGGGCCGCCGTGGACTCCCGAGTGCCAGGGTCTTGGGTGTGGATGTGCATCTGTCCTGGGTGTAGCCTAGACATGGGCCTACCCTGGCAGCCCCGTCAGAGGGACTCATCTAATGCCGTGTGCGTCTTTGTGTCCCTGGACCTCCCTGAACGTGCGTGGCCGTGCCTTGTGTGAAATGCAAGTTGTCAGATGGACAGCAGATGTCACACCAGCCAGTCTGAATTTTGTGTTTTAGGCAGTAGTAGAGTTCTAAAGACTTGTCTTTTTTAATTAAAGGAGAATAATAATTAAGGATGTTAATTTAGGAAAAATTAACTTGGAGAAATGGAGAGTAAGGGGTTGCGCCTGCTCCGTGCCAGGCAGCACGCAGACACCTCCAGCGCTCCAGGAGCGTGTGCCCCGGGCGTCCCCGCTCAGAAAGCGCTTGGCATCGGCTCAGAGCTGGCCACGCATGGGTTCTGTCAGAACCCAGAACGGTCTGTCAGAGTCCAGGCTTACTCCAACCACAAAAATGTGTGAAAACCTGCATACACCCAATGCCATATTTGTCAACACCAAAAAGAAACGAGTTATCAAGCCATGAAAAGAAGTGGAAGAAACTCGAATGTGGGCTAAGCAGAAGAGTCGGTCTGAAAAGCCTGCACACTGGGCAATACCGATCCATGACATTCTGGGCAAGGCAAACTATAAAGACAGCAAAGAGATCAGTGGTACTGGGGCCGGGAAGAGAGATAACAGGCCCAGGTGGGCCGTCCGGGTGGCAAAGCTCCTCTGCAGTGCCACCGGGGCAGCCCCCCCCCCCCCCCGCCATGTTCATTTGTCGGAACCACAGAGCACGCCACCAGGAGTGAGCTCTGCTGCTCCCTGTGGACTCGGGGTGATGGTAGTGTGTGGTACAGGCCATCGGTTGTAATGGATGTCCCCTCTGGGGGGTGCTGACATGGGAGAGGTGGGGGGACACCAGGGAGTGAATAGGAGATCGTTTCACTTTTCACTCAGGCTTGCTGGGACCCTAAAAACTGCTTTAATTTAAAATAAAGTCCATTTTATTTTCTAAAAAAGAATTATTCATTAAATTTTTAATTATTATTATCATTATTTTAATTTGCTATAGGGCATGTGTGCTCACCAAAGAGAGACATAGAGAAAGAGAAAAAAAATGAAAAAACAAGCTGCCAAGTCAGGGCCTTGAACCATGGTCAGCCATGTGGGAGTCCAGAGCCTTAATCACCATGCCACTTACTGGCATCTATACATCTATATCATTATATATTTCAAAAATGTATAAAAGTTCAGATAGAAGAGCTGGTTTGGGAGAAGATCCTTCCTTGGTTCTGGGCTGGAGACCCCTCCCACTGCACCTCTGCGCTGTTGGGTCTCAGCATCAGGTTCCAGTCTGCCTTGACCTGGCTGGGGCAACCCATGCACCAGTCTGGGGCCTTGCCCAGATTACACCTCTGCATTCAGAGACCTCACCCCTGCAAGGTCTCTTCCTAACTTGCTCACATGTTTAAGGGATACTTCAAGTCCCGGTCATTTGCAAAAGAGGAAGGACTGGCAATTCTGAGGTCAGTCATTGCTTTAGTCCGGCTATGCTCCAGGTCTCAGGGCTGCGTCTGCATCCTCCTCCAGGTCTCTGGGAGGGTTCCAAAGCTTCACCTGCTTCAGTTCCCACCTCACTCTCCCTCCTACTCGCCTTCACCACAGCAAGGTTGGCACTTTAAAAATCAAAGTTTAGGGGTCAGCAGATATCGTAATGGTTACCATGGTTTGAGTCCCGGGCCCAGTGGTTTTAAACTCACGCTGGGCATGTGTGCATGCATGCCCAAAATCCCAAGAGAAGAATGGAAAAGGGATTGCAGGGTGCCCATCCCCGCTGGGAGGTGCTTTCTCACTTTCTGTTTCTTTGTCTCTGTCTGACAAGCGCATGCACCCTACAGCAAAAATCTAAAAAAAAAACAAACAAACAAACAAAAAAAACAGAGGTTAAAAATAATAGCAATAAGTTTTGGGTTAAAACCACCCCTTGTTCTTCCTGAAACAGGGAAAAGGAGCTTGGCTCCTAATGTGGGGCAGCCCCAGCTCTCCTAGATTGGCCCCAGGCCACAGCCCTGGAGGTCCCTCCTCCCTCCCCCTCCTTCCTCTCCAAACTGCCCTGCTGGCCTGAGGAGCTGCCCTCCCAGTGCACAGATGGGTTACTCCCACTCCCGCTCCGCTCCTCACCGCCCAGGGGTCAACTCTTGGTCCTGAGAGCGAGAGCGCATTCCCGTCACAGGTGCAGATACCAGGGCACACCCAGGTAGTCATTCACATGCTCAGCCTGCAGCCAGCACCCTCCCCACCCCGGGGTAGGGCTCCAGAGGGGCCTGGGTGTTGGCCGGTCTCACTCAGAGCAAGGGAGGGAAGGGAGACTGAAACAGGGCCGGAGAGGGGCACGGGCGTCTCCAACCACAGCCGTCCAGCCCCTCGGGGTCACGTCTTACGGTGGGCCTGCAACATTTTTCTCTTTCTTGTAAAGAAACCGCACAGCGCTGCACAGGACTGGCATTCCTCAGAATGCTGGTGCGACGAAGTGGTTAACGAGCAGGCTTCTGCGTGTGCAATTTGGCTTCGTGTTTTCCTCACACTCTCCCTCAGGTAGAGCCCTGCACCCACCCTCAGACCACCGAGCGCGGCCCCCACACGCCAGCTGTGCAGCGCGCCATCCGGGCTGGCTGGAAAGGCTGCTGGGGTCGCAGTGTGACACCCTGTTGAGGGGTCTTCTCTCTCATTCTCTTTGTCAAATAGAGTGAACGTAAAAGAAAACACGCATTTCTAGTTCTCCTACCTCCTGTCACTGACCCAGCTGACTCGAGGTCACTGTGTCAGGTAACAACTTTCCCTGATGCCTTGGAAGGCCAAAAGTCCAGCCTGAGTGTCCTAAGCTGTCCCGCTGTCCCCACCCACAGGCTTCGGCTCTGCTGGTGCTGCTGCTGCTGCTGGAAGGAGGCATGTTTTCATCCTCGCAGCCCTCGGGGCTCCTGGGGGAAGTCTTCCAGTACATCGATGTCCACCAGGATGACTTTGTGCAGGTGGGAGGGGCTGCCAGCAGGCTGGCCACGTGCCTTTGGGGGTTGGGTGAAATGCTATGGGTTGGGAGATATGGGTTTTTTTTTTGCCTGACAGTGTAACTGTATTTAAAGTGCCCGTGACTCCTCATTGAACTGAAATCATTCCTCACTAGATCAAGGAAGAGACCCTCCTAGCCGGAGTTCCTGCAAAGGGCTCTGTCTTCTCTCCGGGCATGTCTGACCTGGGGCTGCCCGTTTAGAGATGACAGCGCAGTCCGCTGAGCTCACAGGTGCTCCGATCCATCAGGCCACCCTGGACAACATCCGCTGGTTCCAGGGAAGGTCTAGACAGAGCCTGGAGCAAGAGCTCTGCAGGGCTCAAGTCCACGTGGCTTGCTGCGCACATGCCACATGCACGTCACGCCTCCTCCTATTCCAGCTTCACCGCCCTGCCTGTCCATGGTATGGCCTCATGCAGGGGGAGAGGAGGGAGAGCAAGTAGAAAGAGGACAGGGAGAGAGGCCTAGGGGTAGAAAAGGCGAGGGAGGGACAAATGGGGAGGAGCAGGAGCTTGCTGTCCCCAGTCTCACTGCATCTCGGGGCTCCCATGTGACCCTGTGGGGAGCTGGACTGTCACAACAGCCCTCCTGACACTCAACTGCTGATATGCTCGTTGCCTGGGAGCACTTGAGGTCTCACGGGACTTCCTACCCCGGCCCCCCATGCCAGGTCTGGCATGTGATAGGCATTCGACACGTCTGTTGGATCCATCGACCCGTTTTAGAAATGCTGCTGTGCGGGCCTGCAGGCTTCATGCTCAAGGTGCAGAGCCGCAAGCCCAGGCTGTTCCCAAGCTCGACCCTCATGCCATCATTTCTTACTGGAATACGAGCTTGACATAAATGCCTCTGGGACTTCAGGGTAGAGTCAGCAGGGGACAGAGACTGCTGCACAGGTCAGAGCACTGGCCTGGCCTTTCGACCAAAGTATCTCCTCTTCCCAGTTCCGCTAAGGTACCCAGATCCATTCAACCCAGGGAGGGCTCAGCTGCAACCTCTCTATACATTTTATCTGGAAAATGTTAAACACGGGGCCAGCAGGTGGCATGGGAATTAAGGCACTGGATTCCCACATGGTTCAAGTCCCAGACCTGGCAGCTTGAGAGTCATGCCATGTGTGTATGTGTGTGTGTGGCATGCACACACGTGCATGTGCCCCAAGTCCCAGGAGGAGAATGAAGGAGAGGGTATTGAGCATGGCCATTCCTCCTGAGGTGTGATTTTTTCACTTTCCCTCTCACTGCCTTTCTCCAGAGAGGGCCTACATCCTATGGCAAAAACTTATAAAAAATATAAAACATAATATTCTTCAAGTTTGTTTGTTTGTTTTTCATAACACCTATGCTCACTATTCCAGGGTAAGCCACTTAGTTTCGGACACTGGAATGTGAATGATTGTTAATAATTGCTTAGTGAAGTAAGCCAGGCTATGAAAGAAAGGTATTGTGGGACCAGCAGTTAGCGTAATGGCTATGTCGCTGGACTTCCATGTAGTCGACCGCAGGTCGCGTCCCAGACCCTGTGGCTTAAACTCATGCCGAGCACGTGTGCGTGCGTGCCCGCCCAAGATCCGGAGAAGAGAATGGAGGAGAAGGGATTGCGGCGTGGCCATCCCCCTGGGGGGTGATTTCTTGCTTTCTGTGTCTCTGTCTCTGTCTGTCTGGCGAGCACACGCGCCCTATAGCAAAAACCTCTCAAAAAAAAAAAGAAAGAAGAAAGATATTGTATGTATCCACTTATCTGCACTCCATGGTAGAGAGCGAAATATTGGAGGACATAAAAGCAGTGAAAGTACTTAACGAGAATAAGACAGTGTAGAATGGGGGGGTGAAGAGGAAAGGATAGAGAAAGATAGCAAGAGAACAAATAGAGAGGCAGGACGTTAGTGGGACACAGATATGGCTTATTACCTGTTGATGATGATATGTATAGTATTCTAAACTAGATAGGTCTGAGATGTATTTCATGATGTAGGTCTGAGATATATTTCATGATGGATAAAGTCTTTTTACAAGAAAAATGAGCAATAGTGATTGACTTTAAAAAAATAATTGGAATAATAATAATAATGATTGGGAAAACAATGAAAGATATTGAATGATGAAGCGGGGAGATTAATGTCTCTGTATTGACTGACATGCATGGCAATCCCTTTTGAAAAAGCAATGTAATACACTGTAAAGTTATATGAAATTCAATGTAATATAGACAAGATTATTATGACAATAAATAATAAAAAATAATAATAATTCAATTTCAACCAGCATTAGGTGCCAGGCACCATGCTAAATCTCACACATATGAGCTCAGTTAATCCTCACCAAAATGCTAGTGAGGGAGCATTACCCTCCTCGCAAAGAAGAGAAAAGTGGGGTGAAGAGAGTTTAAGGGATATACCCATGGCCACACAACTGCAGCAGGAAGGCTGGGGTCAGGAACTCAGGCCGGCCTGCAATGACACTGAGCCCTGGACCCCATGGCCGGCCTGGCTAGAGAACCTGTGGCCCAGCTGAGGCCACTGAGGTGTTGATGTGGAGTGACTTGTGAAGGCCCCGAAGCCCCTGGGGTGTGTGTGTTTGCAGAATCTGGTCAGCCACTTTAAGGTTTTTTTCCTTTTTTAAAAGAGTTTTTGGGCTTAGGTCACGTGCACTTGCCAGAGAGAGAGAGACAGACATGGTGCGGGGGAACGTGAGAAATCACCACCCTCCCAGGGGGGATGGCCACAGCACAATCCCTTCTGCTCCATTCTCCTCTTGAGATCTTGGGCACACACACGTGCCTGGTGTGATTTTCAAGCCACTGGGTCTAGGACTCAGACCGCCATATGGGGGTCCGGTATGCTATCTGCTGGTCCCACATCTAGGTTCTTAATAACCGGAACCAGTGGGCAGTATTTGCCTTCACCTCCCCGGGGAGCTGAGCACAGGCCCTCGCTGTTAGGAGGAAGGCTTTTCCTCCACCCGTCCTGCCTAACCTGAATTAAGCAAACACCAGGCCTCCTGGGTCTCGTTACTTCTGCAGGCCGCTGTGCTTGCTAGAAGGCTGAGGAGCGTTTGGGGATCTGTGGTCTCCTACTCTCGCCCCGCCCCGCCTATGGGATGAGGACCGCTCCCTGCAGTACTAAGCCCCCTCGTTGCTTGTCCTCACAGACGCTGAAGGAGTGGGTGGCCATTGAGAGCAATTCTGTGCAGCCCGAGCCTCGCTTCAGACAAGAGCTCTTCCGGATGATGGGCCTGGCTGCGGACAAGCTGCGGCGCCTGGGAGCCAGCGTGGACTCCGTGGACGTGGGTCATCAGCAGGTGTGATGGGGCCCCCTGCGTGAGGAGCTGCCACTTCTGTGGACGTGGCCACGCCATCCTCTGATGATGGCAAGAGAGAGAAGCCCCATAATCTCAATTCCCGGGGTGATGAGCCACCCCAGGAGTCCCAAATGACACCCTTCTGCTGAGCTCTTGCAATGTCTGGGCTGAGGCAGGGGGTTTAGGAGAACGTGGAAGAGGTGAGTAGAGGAAAATTTATTTCAGGAAGGCCTCTGTCAGTCTGCCCACTTCCTGCACACAGGATTCAAACCTCTCCCCAGTTGTCCTTTCCCTTAAACCCGCGTGCATCTTTCTCAAAGAGCAGCATCCCTGCTTCAGAGTCCTGGCCCACACCTCCCACTCTATCGTGGAGGGGAAGCTGCAGTCTCAGCGCCCAGAGCTGCCTGCTGCAGTGTGGACAGACTCAGAGCACCCCATGTTTTCCAGGCCCTGTAGCCCGACTCGCAGCCAGCAGAGATCCGAGTTCCTACTGAAAAGCACGTTCACTTAACTCCAGTCTTCGTCAGTGTGTATCTAAGAATACCTTCCTTTAATTTTGTTTCCTATTTCTGTTAAAATGTCTCATAGCAGCCATTTAGAGGTGGAAAAATAATGCTCAGAAAGACGACGTGGGCTCTCCAAGGACCCAGAGTGTGGACAGGACTCCTATCATGTCTTTGAATTTTCTGGAAGAAAACTCCAGCATTTTTTAAAACTCATGATCCATTGTCCCCCTGCAGCTACCTGACGGTCAGACTCTTCCAATACCTCCCATCGTACTGGCCGAACTGGGAAACGATCCGAAGAAACCCACGGTGTGCTTCTACGGCCACTTGGACGTGCAGCCGGCTCGGCCAGAGGACGGGTGGCTCACGAACCCCTACACGTTGACGGAGGTGGACGGTCAGACATCTGCGCTGTGTTCTGCTGGGGATGGAGCTAGAGCTGCTCAGAGGGTTAAGGATCTACAGTGTGGGGCCAGCTCCGTGGTCTGGCAGCTAAGGGAGTCAGATCTCATGTGCTGACTACAGTTCAAGTCTTGGCCCCAGTAGCTTGAAAACCACACTAGGTGCTTGTGCATCTGGCCCCTAAATCCCAACAGAATGGAAAAGTGGAGGAGAAAGGACTGTACAGGCCCCAGTGGGGGCGCTCTCTCCTTGTCTCTCTGTTTCTCTGTCTCTCTCTGATGAGCACGCACACTCACACTGCCCACATGGTCTAGTCTATCAATTGTTTCAATAATGCCGCTTTCCTTTCATGTATGAAAGAAACAATGAGGTCGTCGGGAAAGTCAGGGCGTGCTTTCTTACGCAGAAGCGTGTCCTGACTTTCCGACCACCCAACAGGAACCTCTCTGTGCCCCTTGGTGGGAGTTCTCGTGATGAAAACAGTTATCTAGGTCACACGTTTTTCTTTTCAAAAATGCCAGATGTAATTCGAATTTTATAAAGAACAACAGCACACTTAATAGAGATATCATTCACCCACTAATTGCGGAGCCCCAAAATGAGAAACAAAGCTGCATAGTCTGCAAACACTTCCCGGGCCCCTCCTGTGAACTTGGGTGAAATAGCTAAGGATTGCGCAGGCCAGACATTGTGCGTTTCCAGTGGGCGTTCACCTGAGCAGCTCATGTCTACACACATGAGAAACCACACTTGGAATTTCAGATCAAGGGCTGCGCCTAGCACACGGATGACATTGTCAAAGTGATAACATAAAATGACATGGTTTTTCTCAGTTTCCTGAGAAGTCTCCCCCTGTTTTTAAAGGTAAGCTGTACGGACGAGGAGCGACAGACAACAAAGGCCCTGTCTTAGCGTGGATTCATGCTGTGAGCGCCTTCAAAGCCCTCGACCAGGTAGGCGGCCTGTCGAGTTTGATGACGATGAGAAGCTTTGCCTTGCTTCCTGTGTCCCAAGTAAACTGCAGCGTCATTACTTGTCCCAGCACCCTTTGGAGGCGTGTGGTACAAGAATCCCCATTTTACAGATGGGAGGAGTGAGGTGTGGGAAGGGTGGGGAACTTATCAGAGCAGCCCAGCTAGTGGCCAGTCTAAGACTTTGAGGTTAGATTCCAGCCTGTTCTGAGAACCACATGAAAAACAGACCCAAGAAAACATGAGGAGCCATTGACTAAGTTAGTGCCTGCTGAGACTTGTCTTTTTTTTTTTTTTAATCTTTATCTTATCTTGCCTTATCTTCTCTTTTGTCTTATCACAAACCATGGTACTCTTAGCAGAGACAAACATACTTTTTTTTAGTGAGGAGAGATTTTTGAATAGGACATGTATATTCGTCCTGGAGATACAGAGAGACAGAGTCAGAAAGTAAGAAATCACCCCCACCCCCAGGGCAACGGCCACACTGCAATCCCTTCTCCTTCATTCTCTTCTCAGGATCTTGGGCATGCCAGCACACACTCCCAGGCTGTTTCAAGCCACTGGGTCCAGGATTTGAACTGCTGTCAGTCATAAGGGAGTTCAGCACCTTAACCACGATATCACCTGCTGGCCCCCCACACACATACATTTTAAAAATACATTAGCTATTGGGACCAGCAGATGGCATAATGGTTACATCGCTGGACTTCCACGTAGTCGACCTCAGTTTGAGTCCCAGACCTGTCGGCTTGAAACTCATGCCGGGCAATTGTGCGTGTGAGCCCAAGATCCTAGGAGGAAAATGGAAGAGAAGGGATTGTGGCATGACCATCCCCCCTAGAGGGTGACTTCTCACCTTTTGTATCTCTGTCTCTCTAGTGAACACAGGCGCTTTATAGCAAAAATCTCTCTTAAAGAATATTAGCTACTTTGCAAATATCAAGAGAGAAATCCTTGCTCCTTGATATTCTGCCTGAATCTTTAGAGTCTTTCCTTAAGGGTCTAGGAATCTCCTTTTGGTGTCCAGATTAGGGCTCTGTTCGGCAGGTAGGGGTCCGCTTTGCAGCAGGTAGGCTCCGTCTGGGTCTGGGCTGTGTCCGTGACTGTGTCTCCAGGACATTACCATCTCCGTCACTCTGTCCTCCCCTTCGAATGGGTGTCCTTGGATGCCAGCAGAGGAGTGAAGCTGTCTGTGTGTCTGTGGACAAGAGGTGTAATGTCTGTCCGTGGAAAGGAGCACAGATTCCCATGGGCACCTCTCTGACGCTGCGTGCCTGCTGCCCGCCTCTGCTTCACACAGAACCTCTGTCCGGGACCCTCAGCCAGCTCAGGCGGGAGCCTGCCTCTTCCCTCCCAGCCCCCTGCTGTTTGGAACAGGAAGTCTGATGTCAGCAGTTTCTAAATAGCAGGACTGATATTTTACGCGAATGTTCGAAAGCAGCGGATATAAACATTGTTGGTGCGGTATTAGGATAATGGTGGGACTCCGTGGGTGGTGAGACACGCAGGCGCATTAGGGCAGCTCCAAGCTTGACCCCATCAAATACTGACTCTGCAGTCTTGGGGCAGAGCATCTTGTGGAGCCAGCCTTTGGAACTCAGAGCTCTCTGCCATGTCCTCATCTCCTACGGGTTAATTCAATGGAAGTCGAATATTAAAGAGGGAAATGAAGGAGGGCCGGCAGGTGGTGTGGCAATTAAGGTGCTGGACTCTCACATGGCTGACCACGGTTCGAGTCCCACACCCACTGACTTGAAACTCACCCTGGGTGCGTATGTGTGCCCAAGATCCCAGGAGAGAATGAAGAAGGGATTGTGGCATGGCCATCCTCCCTGGGGGGGTGATTTCTCACTTTCTGTCTCTCCAGTGAGTGCATATGCTCTATAAAAATATTTAAGGGACCAGCAGTTGGCATAATGGCTATGTCACTGGACTCTCATGTAGTTGACTGCAGTTCGAATCCCAGACCTGGTAGCTTAAACTCACACTGGGCGCGTGTGCATGTGTGCCCAAGATCTCTAGAATAGAAGAGAAGGGATTGTGACGTGGCCATCCCTCCTGGGGGGTAATTTCTCACTTTCCGTCTCTCTGTCTCTCTCTCTGTCTTTCTGGAGAGCGCACGCGCCCTATAGCAAAAACCTCTCCAAAAAAAGAAAAAAGAAAGAAAAAAAGAAAAACTAAAGGAAATAGAGCTGATTTGGTGAGTTCATGGACAGAAAGGAAAACACCACCACTCAGAGCAGACCACCTCCTCACCCCCGCCTAGGCAGAAGGCTCTGTGGATAGCACGCCCCTCCTGAGACAGCGTCAGTATGAAGCGGAAGTTCAGAAATGTCCTACTTCTTCTCATCTCCGGGGGAGAGCTGGGAGAGAAAGGCTCAGTCGCTGGGTGCCATCTTTACGGGATAAATATGAGGCCAAGTGGAGCCGCCATAGCCCATGCCCACGGGCTGCAGGGCTTCCATCCCAATGCTCTCACAGCAAGCCTGTCTATCCTGGATTCTTCCTGGAGGTTATTTCATCAGGTTATTTCAAGCAGGGGCTTCTCAGGAGTTGATTTTTCCTGAGACAAAAGTAGATAAGAGAGGGGCGTTAACTCTGTTATCTCAGAGTTAAGCTCAATAAACCAGAACACGTTTCTGGCTGGGCAGTGCTGACCACTGTAACACTGATTCTTATCCACGACACTCCCACCAAATAAACCCTGGATTTAAAGTGACCTTGGCACCTCTCCCTCCCACCCTCCCTCCTTCCGTTGGTCCTTGCTTTCTATGGGGTAAGCAATATTTATAAAGAAGTTCCTACATAAAGGCCAACATCTGCCTTGCTTTCTAAATTTCAACTCCAAAGGTTACATAACCACAAACAAAGCCTAAGAAACAGCTATTGCCTCAGACAAGTCAGTTCATCTTTCTGAGCCTCAGTTTTCTCATCTGTGAACTAAGAATGAACATTTCAAGATTGAATGAAGAACTGCAGGGTACTCTAGCAGCATTGGGTCTGCACCAGGGCTGGCTCCTCCTTCGCTCATCCTGTCTTGCCCTCAGAGCACTTACACTCAGGCCCCCGGGCTGGATTACCCTGATAAAATGCAGAGCTAGTGTTGTCATCTGTACCTCAGGACAGAGGCGTGAGCTCAGTTTATGCAGACCCTCGAGGGCTGGGGAACAGAACCCAGACCAAAGTTCAGGCCTGAGGGCTGGCGGACTCTTCCACCAACACTCAGTCTCTATTGGTTTGTTTCTTTTTCTTGTTTTTGGAGAGATTTTTGCTATGGAGCCTGTGCGCTTGCTGGAGAGACAGAGAGAGAGACAGGAAGCAAGAAATAGCCCCCCAGGGGGAATGGCCACGCTGCAATCCTTTCTCCTCCATTCTCCTCTTGGGATTTTGGGAACAGATGCACAAATGCCTCGGATGAGTTTCAAGCTGCTGGATCCAGGATTGAAACTGTGGTCAGCCATGTGGGAGTCTAGCACCATAACCACTACATTACCTGTTGGTTTGTGTTTTATTAAATGTGATTTGCCAAGAAAACTCAGGATTTTGAACTACTTCTCAGCAATTGTTGGTTAAATGTTAGCAGAGAACTTTTGAATATTAGGATTGTAGGACTTCAGCTCAACTTCCTGAGACACACAGAAATACAGGTGATACTTTGGAATAAGTCATTGTCCCAAAGTGTGGTTAGCCTATTGCCCCAAAGTTCAGTGAGTGACTGGGGGACCGAAGGCCACAATCTTCTGTCACCTTGCATTTCTTAATCTCTGCTGAGTCAGTCCCTCCCCTTAGAACTGATTAGCATGTTTGTGCCTTGAGGTTTATCTGCATGTAATTACCTTGAGAGTTCTGCCCAGGATTCGAACTCTGGGAAAAGATTGGCTTCTCCTCTTAATGTGGTTCTCAAAGATATGAAGTTATAAATTATAAAGATACAAAAGATCAAAACCAAATGGGGAAGAGGCATGCTGTAAAAATTTTAAAGGAGCTATTATCCCGTACTCGAATATTAACTACAGAAAAACTCGAGTTCCATTTTGCGGCAAGATCAAAGCCTTTGAATAAGTTAAAAGGCAGATTAAAATCATAGCTGAGAAATAACAGATACTTGAAATAAAAATTATCCTGAAGCTTAACCATCTTTCAAAGGAAAAAGTTCTCATTTATCTTACTCAGAATTATGAGGACAGAAAAGCATTTGTGAATTGAGTGACCTTTCTTGAAAAATGCCTTCTGGGGGGACGATGGGGACGCCTTCCCAAGGCCTGCAGCGCACCACGGTGCTGCGGGGCAGATGTCGCTTTCCTTCCATGATCCCCCACTTCCGTAGTACAGTGCCTGCCTGCCATTACCTTGAATTTTCCTTCACCATTTTAGATGAAGCACCACTGTTAGAAATGGAGCTGTTGGAAATGCAAGAAATCCATACATGAATGTAAATAATAATATCATGTATGTATGGTAAACACAAACCGACAAATCCCAGGTGGTGAAAATAAATGGCCGAGTTATTCAGTTTTGTTCTGTTGTGGGTTCAGGATCTCCCCGTGAACATCAAATTCATCATTGAAGGGATGGAGGAAGCTGGCTCTGTTGCTCTGGAGGAACTTGTCCATAGAGAGAAGGACCGGTTCTTCTCCAGCGTGGAGTACATTGTTATATCAGATAACCTGTGGATCAGCCAAAGGAAGCCGGCGCTCACCTATGGGACCCGGGGCAACAGCTACTTCACGGTGGAGGTATTGGCAACCACAGCCCGGGGAGGGAGGCCTGGGGCTGGGCACTGGGGGGAGACGGCTGTTGGGGTCTTGGAGAGGATTAGAGGAACATCCTCTGAGATGAGTCCTCCCCAGGACACAGCCTGGGCCGCACAGTGCTCTTGGGGCTGGGAGAGTTCTCAAGTCCCCAACACGGGAGTGACGTTCTCATGTGCATTTGTCTTGAGCTAGGATTCATGGGGCTTGTGACTCACACACCACAAGGTCTAGAACCGTGGCTGTGGAATCAGGAGGCAAGAATCACAGTGACGGGAGGAAAGGATCAGGTGCGTGGAGGCCGGAGCACCACCTGGCCCTGCCTGCCTCGGCTCCGTGCAGCTGACCTAAGTGCCGAGGCCAAGGGGAAAGGGCAGGTGGGCTGCGCCACGCGTCCTTGCTCTGCCGTGCACAGCCTTAGTCTCACGTGGAAAGTGGGCGCGTCGGTGCTCCCCTCCCGGGACGGTGTACAGGCTCCACACGCAGCTGGTCTCGTCCTCGCGCTTTCCTCACCAGTCCTGGCTTGGACAGCACACACAGTGCAGAACCAGAGCTCCTCTCCGTGGGAAGCCGTGCAGCCACTTCCGTCTGTTTTCTCGTATAATGGCGCACAGACGTAATGCCTGCCCTTCCTGGTCCCGGCTAGTTGCCAAACTCGGCAGTGATGGGCAAGAGGAAAGCACTCGCACATGTGTCCACCAGATGTGACAATGCTAAGTACCAGGGCACAGGGCCAGAGTAGTGTCTGCCTCCAAGGAATTTACAGCTGTGAGTTCCGCACCGTTCAAGAGATGACTTA